TGACACACATGGGTAAAATAGTTTTCCATGACTCAAAGCTGCCCTTTATAGACTCTTTCCTATGTTCCTGGCCTATGTGGGGACTGTACAATTTTCATAAATCCCTCATTATTCAATAAAAGTCCTAAGACACAGGGACTGCTATCATTTCCATTTTATGGATGGAGAACTCGAAGCTTAGAGAAGTTGAGTAATTCACCTAAAGTTGCACAGCTAGTAAGAGGGGTAGCTGGAATCTGAACTGCGGATCGACGCTCTTAAAGGCTGCCCTCTGTACTTCCATTTCTGCAGGGCAGCAAATCAATTTGTACATGTTTTGGGGGTGGATGGTTGTATGCTTTTATTTTTCCAAGCATTTGCTCTAATCAGAGACAGGATCCATGAAAGAAGAGGCAGGTTTATATCTTCCTGGCCTTGCTGGGCATGTAAGAAGGCTCTTCCTTCCAGCTCTGGTGTGTCTCTACGTGTCCCCCTTGATGCGCTGCTCCCAACGCAAACTCCTTTTTGCTTCTGTCCCTGCCACCCAGACTTTCCCAGAGAACAACCTAGTGTGTCAGCATCTCGGAAGACCTGGTGTCAGGACACTTGGAGTCACCTCATTTTCCTCTCTCTCTAGTAAAAGGCCTGAGTGTCGATGTGGAGGAGGAGACAGAGTGAGCAGGGTTCTGGCCCTTGGCTGTACTAACAGAATGTTGTTAAATCAACCACAGCCTCCAAGATTTGTCACCTTCCATAGGAAATGACCATGCCTTTTTCATCATTGTACCTTCTAGCACAGTACCTGGCAGAGGGCTCAGAAACTGCTGAACTGTAGCTCAGAGTTCTAGGGCGGTGCTGGTCATTAGAACTGTCTGCGGAGATGGAAATGTTCATTATGTGTGCTGTCAGAGATGGCGACTGAGCACCTGGAAGCTGGCTAGGGTGCCCAAGGAGCTCATTTTTAAATTTTATTTAATTTCAATGCATTTAAATTTAAGTAGCCACATAGGACTAGTGGCTGTGTATTGGACAGCACATTTCTTGACTATAAAACTGGAAAATAATTCACAATCTGTTTATCTTATAGGGCTGTGGTAAGGGATAAAGGAAATGATGGAAATAAAAGGCAGTATCATATAATGAAATCAGATGACCTGGTTTAAATACCAGCACCAACCCTCTGCTATCTCTGTGACTTTCAGTTAAGTTTACGCAACCTCCCTGAGTGTCAATTTCCTCATCTGAAAAATGGGTTTAATGACAACTATCTCTTACAGAGGGGTCAAGTGGATTAAATAAGATAATAGATATAAATTGCCTAGCACATTACTTGGCACACAGTAAGTGCTCAACAAATGGTACCCTTAAAAAAAAAACAGTGTTCTTGAAAGCACAGAGCTTGCATAGGGGCAATATACGATCACTGTGGGGAGGACCCTGTGGAGCCTTCCAGGGCTCCACAGTCAGGCCGCTCCCCCATATCCTCTGCTGCAGCTCCTCTCTGAAGTACCCAGGTGATAGTATCTCCTGTATATTTCCTGAGTTTTTCAGCTCTACAAACCACCGCCAAAGGGAAGAAACGAACTACTTAGTGATCGAGAGCACGTGCCACCCCCCGCCCCTAGACCTTCTTGCACCTAGGGCTTGACAGCATTGACAGCCCTGTCACCTCAACATCCACCCATCAGAGAATTGCGCACAAGCTGATCATGTACCATGTGACCCCCTTCCTTTACCTGGCCTTTAAATATGCTTTGCTGAAACCCTTGGGGGAGTTTGGGGTTTTCTTGGGTGTGAGCCATCCCATCCTTCTTGCTTGGCCCTGCAGTAAACTTTTCTCTGCTCCAAACTCTGATGTTTCCATTTGTTTGGCCTTGTGGTGCAGCGGGCACATGAACTTGCCTCTGGTAACATTACCAGCAGGAACTGAAATGGCCCATGATTGCTCCCCTGCACTATGCCTTCTCTGCAGAGGACGTGGCTGTGTCGGACTCTTCCCCTTTCATAGCCCCATTGTGGTCATATATTATTAGACAGCTCATGAATATGTGATACTTCAGGTGCCTCCCTGAAGGATTTCTCAGCTCCTGGTACTAGCTTGGCTTCCCTGGGTGACAGGCGTGCTGTCCCTGCCCTGCTAGAGGCTGGGATGAGGTCTGCTCCCTAGGTCTTCTCCTGCTGGCCTCCCGACACTGGTAGTTTTCCTTGGAGGCTTTGCAGCTGAGACAGGCTTTGTCTGGACAAGCAGCGGCTGGTCTAGCTAGTGCAGCAGCAAACATCCTTGATTGTTTCTCTTGGTTTTGGCTGTTAATCCCCTTTTCTGTTTATCCCCTCAGGAGCCCAGGCTCTAGGCGTGGGCTCTAGACCCTAGAGCTTTGGGAGAGGAAAAGCAGATGTTCCCGGACTGTCACTGCCACGGGCACCGGCCATGTTTGTGGGGTGTTACCGATACAGCCCTGAGATGGCACGAGCTTCAAGTTGTCAAGGACAGGCCCTGGCCCTAGTTACTGAAGCTGTCGCCAACGTTTTACAGCTCCCCGCCGGCTGCCAGCCTGGGAAAGTTCAAATCGCTGGAAAGAAGCACCTCCTTCCTCCCAGCCTGATGCCAGAGCGACAGAGCTGTTCGCAGTGTCTGGGAACCTCTCCCAGTTCTCATTGCTTTATGGTCTCAACTTTACCCTGTGACATCGTGCAGGTCCATCTGCAGGGGTGAAGCTCTGATTTCTTCTTCAGCAAATAATTGGTGAGGGAGAAGCATCGGCAGGTGCTGACAGTTGTGGAGCGAGCCTGGAAGCCAATCGTGGCACCTTATTATATACTGACTCGTTTGTTTATTGGCTGCCTTTACTGACAGAAAGTAAGGCCCACGAAGGCAGGGGTATTGTCTAGTGTGTTCATCACTGTGTCCCCAAGTCATGGCACAGTGACATTCCTTAATGGATATGTGATGAGTAAATGAATGATTCTCTCTTTACTGATGAAACTTACTAAAAATTGAAGTACAGTTGATTTACAAGGTTTCAGGTGTACAGCAAAGTGATTCAGTTATATATATGTGTGTATACAGACACACACACACACACATATAATTTTAGATTCTTTTCCATTGTAGGTTATTACAGGATATTGAATACAGTTCCCTGTGCTATACAGTAGGTCCTTGTTGCTTATCTATTTCACGTATAGTAGTGTATATCTGCTAATCCCAAGTTCATAGTTTGTCCCTCTCCCATTTCCCCTTTGGTAACCACCAGTTTGTTTTGTATGTCTGTGAGTCTCTCTCTGATGAATTTTTTAAACCAAACATATAGCCAGAAAGCTCTTGACTACAAATTTGTCTGCAAAAGAACCAGAAATATTGATCTGGCAAACTCACGAAATCACTGACTCAATGATGCTCCATAACTCTTCCCCTCCCCCTCCTTCCCTCTCTCCTTCCTTCCTTATCTTCCTTCACCTGCTCACTTTTTCATTCATCTAATGTTCACTGGACACATGAATAGCAAGGCTTGTAGTATATACATTAAAAAACTCATCCCGTGTATGTGAAAAAAACCAGGGGCCTCTCTACTGTGTGAGAGATGAAGGTTTACTGGCGCTTAGAGAATCTGTTGAAAGATAGGATTAAAACTAGAGATAAAACTTGAACCAGGCAGTTTACAGCAATGTCCTAAAAATCTCCTGGGGGAAGCAAATGTCAGCAGGGAAGCGAGAATCTTGTTCAGATATTTTTATGGTAGGAATATTTCCTGGACTTAAGTCACAGATTCAAAACATGCAACACAAATCTATTCTACTGAAAAGACAAACAAAATTCTTCTTAAATGTGAAGAATACGATGCCAGCTGGTAATATAAGTAGTTGGGGGTCTGGGCTGACCAAAATAGAGAACATTGGTCCAAAGCAGGAGTCAGCAAACTACCGCCCATAGACTAAGTATGTCCCACAACCTGTTTTTATAAATAAGTTTTATTGGAAAGCAGTCAGGCTCACTTGTTTACGAATGGTCTCCGGCTGCATTCATACTATGCAAGCACAGTTGAGAAGTTTTGACGGAGACCGTATGGCCTGCAAAGCTGACATCTACTCTCTGGCTTTTGACAGAAAAAGTCTGCTGATCTCTGGTCTAAAGGAAAGATGTTCTGATGCCAAATGAGAGCCTTTTAAAAGAAAACACTCTCCACATTGAGTTGGGTTCAGGGATGTTTATACACCTGCTTTCCCTATTGATGAAAAGTGGCCAACAGTTCATATCATGACATCATCAACCCCCAATATGTTACTGCTCTCTGTAACTCTCTGTAGTGTGGCCACTAAGCTAATGACCTGAAATCATTTTCTATAAACCAAACTGTTGACAGATCCAAGTATTCTCCCTGCAGGCTTCCCACTGGACTGCCCTTTTGCCCTCTCAGGTCAGAGCTGAATCAGACAATCACATCGCCTCAAGTTCATTCTGAGGTTTGATTTGGCGTTCAGGAGCCTTAGAACCGAAGATTTCTTCACCTGTGCTTGTTTTGTGATTATAGGTCTCCAAATGCCCATAAACTTGATTAAAATTGTCCCTTCTCTGCCTTCTCATTTCGCATGTGGATTGCTTATGATTTGGAGTTACATAATTCTTGGTTTCCCAATAAAGAAATCCGCAGGTGGTATGCCTTTTTTGTTTTGCAAGTCACCTTCCTGTGTAAAAATTTGGAGCCAGGTGTCTCTCACTGAGCCCATCAGACCCAAGTGTCAAGATCTCTGAGGCCTTCCTTAAAACCCAGCCCTGACTTTTAAAATCCTAAAATAAATATTTTCAAAGAAGGGCTAAAGCTTTTGGCCATTCTCTCTTCTCTTCAGAAAGTGAAAAATGGGGTCCTCCTCCACTGGTTTGGTGATAAAGCCTTGCTGGAAAAGCAATAATTTAAACAGCAGTTTCCAGACATCCATTTAATACAGTTCTCACAATCCAACAAGGTTCTTGTCACCCTTCTATGAATGAGGAAATGGACACTCAGCGAGTTCCAATAACTTACCCAGGGACACACAGCTACTGAGATGCACAGACAGGATTCAAACCCATGCTCTTGCCACTCTGCTGTTCTTCCCAACAAAAGCACTGGAATGAGGACCACAGAGTTCTCGGAGATCAATACCTAGAAAAAGAGTTGATATCCTGTAGTCAGGAGGTTAGAGAATACTATTAGAAATGGAAGTTGGTTTATAGAATCTTAACCAGTGTGCAATGAACAGTGATTTGGGTTGTTATTTCAAATGAAAATGGAGTTGGTGGGCATCTGGAAGGTGGTGGAAGGCCAGGGAGGGGGGACTACATTAAATTTCATTTTCGTTGGAGAACCATGTATAGGAAGAAGCCAAATGTGGATGACATGGTGAGGTGGGGTCCAAGTCAGCTTTAAGAAAACAAATACTCTTTCAGTCATGGAGAGTTTGTTAAAAAATAATGGATCTCACCCAAAGATGAGGGCTAGACTGTCCTATGACACAAATCCTCCTGTCCTTGGCCCACTTTTCCTCTCCCCTCCACTCACATGTTTACTGAGTGCTGACTCAAGGCTAGGCTTCAAGTGAGATCTTGAGGATATAAGGATAATATGACATGTATCTTGCTCTCCAAAATCTTAAGTTTAGGGCTTCCGTGTTGAATCTGTTCTTCCCACTTCCCCACCTGTGGGGATGGAGAATGCTGGGGATACCAATGAAATACAACCCAAGCTATTTTTAGGGTCCACAACATCACAGCATACGCCACAATGTTTTTCCCTAAAATTTGAGGTTTTGTCCTAGGAAGTGCCTTCCAGACATCTCTCTCTGCCTCATCATTGCTCCTTCTTACCTTCCTAACCCCTAAAACCACAACTCCACATTCAGCTTCTTTTGATCCATGGGGATACAGGCTAAGGGAAAGAGGAGGAATAATTGGCTTATTTCGGCTTTCCAAGCAACCCAAAAGCAGGGAGAAAATGCATAAATAAAATACTGCTGTAGTTAAACGCACACTCTCCCTTCAAATTACTCATCCTTGTTTAGGGACCCCAAGGAGACAGGGGTAGGTGGAGACGGGATGACATCATAAACACCCAGTTTCTACTAGTAACTCAGAATATTTCATTAACTGTTAAAATCTTTAAAATATCTCTACTTTAAAAAAAAATCATATCCATAGAATGTACACCACCAAGAGTGAACCCTAAGGTGAACTATGAACTTTGGGTAATAATGGTGTGTCCTCATAGGTTCATCGATTTTAACAAATGTATTACTCTGGAGGGGAATGTAGATAATGGGAGAGCTGCCTGTGTACGGGTGGGGGATATATAAGAACTCAGCTCAATTGTGCTGTCAACCTAAACTTCACTAAAAAATAAAGTCTATATTAAAAAGTCATACACATTCACAAAGTCATTGGAAAAACTTGTCAAAACTGTAGAAAAGTCAAAGAAGAAGGTGAAAACCACACAGCATCCTCTGCTCCTAATGTGAGATGAGTAGGGTTAATAATTTAGTTATCATCCCTCAAGGCATTTCTCTGGCCACACTTGTCTGTGCACAAATCTCCGTAAACAGGGATAGAGGTGTATGTCTATGTATGTGTGTGTCTGAATGTGTGTATATCTGTGTTTCACCCAACATGTCTCAATTAATATTGATTTACATAACTTTTAGTAGCTGCATAGTACTGCATATATGAATATGTCATCATTTACCCAACCAGCCTCTTACTTGAGAATCAGTTTGGATTTTTTTGTTTTTGCTCATATAAATAATGCTGTAGTGAACATATCTTTTTTTTTTTTAATGGAGATACTGGGGATTGAACCTAGGACCTCCTGCATGCTAAGCACGTGCTCTACCACTGAGCTCTACCCCTCACACCCCAACCACAGTGAACATTTCTGAATGTATATCCTTTGCCTATTATGATCTTTGTCGAATCTGTGCATCTTTGCAGTCCACACCACATTTCGGGGGAAATTACGGGTTATATATACTTCATACACACTGTGTGAGTAGTTCTTTTTACAAAGTAAACTTCTAGGCAGAGAACCTTGAATAATTCTAGGTCTAACACTTCTATTAGAAAAAAAAGAAGAAGGTTTGACTATGAGATCACATATGCAATGCCTGTAGCTCGGGGCACTGAACATAGTACGTGCTCCAGATGTAATAGCTAACAGGACCATTGTTGTCGTTTCTTTTGTTTCGGTCCCAGTGTCTCTGCAGAAGAAGACTGGAGCATGGCACAAAGTGGCCTGAACCACAGAACAGGCAAAGGGAGCCCATTTCTAGTCCTTAAAAGTTTCTGACTCTGGCTGTAATCAAATGTGAGTTTTAGAAACATATTGGTCAACCCAAGAATGCAGCCCACCTAACTATCCTCTCCAGACCCTCAGTAAAATAGCAGTGAAACAGCAACATGCAGACTACATACTCTGTTGCTGCCATAATAACAGTCAGATGTGTTTTCTCATTTGTTGTAAAAGAAGGGGGCACATTTTTTTCTGGCTTTTTATGCATTATTATCTCTGTTCTGACTTTCTTACTCAAAGGAAATAATAAGGCATGTTGGACTTTTACACATATCATTCCCTGTCAGATTCTGAGGGCTATCACTTTGTCTTAGAGCTCAAGCTAAGCCCCAGATTAGTCCCAGAGCCTTCAACAAATGCCTTCTAGTACTGTCTGCTTTATCCTCTTTATAATGTGGTTGCAAAAAATAAAAAAAAAAACCCTGAAATAAAAAACACCTGACTGCTTCCACTCAAATCTACCATGCTTTTTATGAGATTGTACATGGCTCACACTTATGCTATGATCTGGAACATCAACTTCAGGAAAACAAAGCTTGCTATTGGTCAAGGCTCAGAATTAAGGGTCTGTTCTTTGCCCTGAGGTGAGATGGAAGCAAAATTAATGAGCTTAGTTTTAGGGCTGCTAGAGCAAGTAACATTAGTCAATTATCAGTGACCCGAGATCAGTAAAGCAGGAAAAAAAAAGTTGGCTGGAGAGAGAGAAAATCAAGAAGGCTCACTACCACGAGCCTGTGATAGGATTCATTTAAAAACTGTAAGTCATGTTTTATCAGCACTAGAGAAAACAGAGTTGGTAGCATTAAATTTGATCCTAGAAAAATGTAAAACACACTTTGCCCTGGTGCCTCCTTGATCTGTAATCAATAACTAGTCTCACAGTCGCAGTATCTCCCACGTGAAGTCTCTCCCACGTGAAGTCTCTACCACCTCCTGAGTGAACAGAGGAAGACTTTCTGAATCAAAACCTTCTTTCATCTCAAAGAAATTTAATTAGAAGTAATGAGCATGACTACCATTTATTAAGCACCTACTGAGTGCTGCCTGGCACTGTAACTAGGTCTTTGGCACATGAGTCAGTCAACATCTCTTGAGAGTCTACTGTGTGCCAGGATTATTCTAGGTGCTAAAAATACAGGAGTTAACAG